GCCATTCTGACTGGTGTGAGGTGGTATCTCATTGAGGTTTTGATTTGGATTTCCCTGATGCCGAGCGATATTGAGCACTTTTTCATGTGCACACAGACCCAGTATTAACCAGCAGGTTCTCTGACAGCCACTGAGCATGGACTATGTGCTGGGCTCTGGTTCATCACTGCACCATCCTGTCCTCCCCAGCACACCTCGCAGGGGAGGTTGCCTGGGCCGAGAGGATGGCATACCCAGGCTTACAAGGACAGTAAGGGCCAGAGTGGGGGTTCAAGCCTTCCACCACCAGGCACCCTCGGGAGTGGCAGGAGGGTGGGGGAGTGCTTTGGATGAGCAGCCTAAAGGACCCACTGAGAAGCCATGGCACCAGGTATCCCAATGGGAAAAGACAGGCATTTTATCAGGTCCAAAGCTTTCCCTAGCTTTGCAAGGAGTCCAGGCCTCATGAGACGGGATAAAGACAGGAAGGCTCTTCCCACAGACCCAGGACACAGCCGACTGCCCATATGGTCAGAGCCGCCAACAGACCTGGCTCCCAGGCTGGAGATTCCCTACAGCTCTGACCCACCTTGCAAGAAGGGGACTTCTTGGAATAAAATGGCAATGGTTTCAGACAGTTTCCTGAGGGCTCCAACAGAATCAGGCTCTAATGATCTAAGGAGAGCTGGCCCCAGGGCCACCTGTCCCTCCAGTCAGCATACTGCCCTCAATCCATGTTCCAGGAACGCTTCCCTCAAGCAGAAGTCACTCCAGGTCCCCCTGCCATGGCCCCTTCCAACAACTGAGTCTTCTGTTCAAAGGCCAGAAGCCAGAGGCTGGGCATGCTCTGGTGGGCTCAGGGCAGAGCTGGGATTCCTCCTACAGAGCTGAGTGGGGTGATGTGAAGACTGGCCTCGGTGAATCTGTCCCCTCTGTGGAAGACCGGCTGCACCAAGGGTAGGTAGAGGTTGCCAGAAAGGGCCAAAGAAGAGGCAGGTGGCTGTGCTTCTGAGGGAAGCAGCCCTGGCTGCCAGAGCCCTTAGCCCCACACCGTGGGTGAAGTGCCCATGGCATATACACACCCCTCTCTGGTGCTTGGATGACTCCCACGGTGAGGGGGTGGGCTGGCAGGGATCCCCAAGAGGCAGGGGACATTCTAGGCCTGAGATCCAAGGGGCCATGACAGGGAGCTTGGGAAACAAATACATTTCTCAGCACCACATGGCTACAGACCCACCATCTGGCCCCGGGCCTCCCAACCTGCGCAAGGCTGGCTGCATCCGTAGATCCCTCTCCGTGCTCCCCACTTCTGGAGAACTCGTCCCAGAGAAGGAGGGCCCTGAATGGCAGCCAAGGTCCATAGGCAGTTCTCTTTGTCTCCTTCGGAGGCTCTGCCTTCTACGGCCTCTATGCCAGGCCTTATCGTGTGAGTGGAGACAGAGGGGCAGTCTGGCGGCAGGAACAAAGGCACGCTGGCTTCCAGGAGAGGGGGTGGGTGGGTGATACAGGGAAGCCTGATCTGGGTAAAGTTGCTTCTCTTCTCCAAAGCAGATGTATGGTGAGTAAGACTTGGCACAGGCACTATGTGACACTGCCTCTGCTCCCCACACGGTCACCACTGTGGCTGGGAGGGGGCTGGGGTTCACAACGACACAGACCACGGGTGCCCGCGGGAGAGGAAGGAGGAAGAAGTACCAGGTCCCCTATGTGCTAGTCCCTGCAGGGTCAGGATACCTGCACTGCTCAGGGCAATCAATGCTTCCATGCTATGATGAGGTCAGTGCTGTTTATCTGGTTGCTCAGAAAGGGTTTTCAAAGCAGGGAGGAAAGAGGACACAGGGCAGGAAGGCAGGCCCGGGCCAAGCGGCCTCTGTGGCCTCTGCATGCTAGCTAAGCAGGCATGCTCTCTAGAGGGGGTGTATAGAAAGCCTTCCTTTCTACTTCCCGGACACAGTAGCTGAGCAGGGGCCCAACGAGAAGGAGGGACAGGACCTGGAGTGGGTGTAGCAGCAGGCACCCAAGCAGAAAACATGACGCTGGAGAAGAGGGAGCAACTCACGACACATGTGTGGGCCTGAGAAGAACAGTATACTGGACCAGGAGGGACACTGGTCCTGGCATGCCTCTGCTCACACTGAAGTCTGTTGTTTTACAGGTCTCTGAAGAAAGGCCGAGAAGTAAGGGCCAAGAGCCTGGGGGCATGGGGAGACGGGAGGAACCAGCATTCCAGAGCTCCACCTAATGAACCAAGCCTCCCAACCCACACACCTGGCAGGGGAGACATGCGACCCCTGGCCTTGCCAGAGTCCCAGATTTGGAATTTGGGGAGAGGGTGGTAAGCTCTCCATCCTCCCTATCCTAGGCATATCCAGAGTGGATTATTACTCCTTCTCTCTAGGCATCTCAGTATCAGGAAAAGTCTTTCCTCTTGGGGTGAACAGGGGCGAAGCAGCAGCTCCTGGAACCCACACCTCTCAGGCCTCAGAGGCTCTGGCCAGGGCCAGCCCGTCTCCTTGCTGCCTTGGGCTCTGCTGGGACCCCAGCCACCAGCCTAGAGGCTATCTGCTCCCCCTGCAGCCTGATCCTCTTCCTCCCTCAGGGCCTGCTTGGGTCTCTCTCTGATGCTCTCAGAAAACCGCTCAATGAGTGTACTCTCCATGGCCGGAACTCCCAACTGCTGGAGACATCCCTGTTCGAGTGGGACCCTGTGGGCTCTGCTGCCTGAGCTGCCGGAGGGCAGGGTACAGCACAGCAATACTTCCCGATCCCCACTGGTTTTATCTGAAACTCTCTCAGGCCACAGAGGGATGAGGCCAGATACGGGGTCTTGGGTTCCTGCCTCTACAGGGGCCCCCAAGGCTTTCGGCTTCCCTCCCTGCTCCATTTGGGGCACCCAAACACCTTCAGCTTCAGGCTGTGGGAGGCCTGCCCAGAGATCCCCCACTCCTCTCTGGAGAGACCCTGCATGACCTCATGAGACTGAGTCACAGGGAGATGGGCCCCAGATAAAAGTTCACAGCTTCCAGAAACCAGTGGAATCAAATGTGATGTTCTTGGGAGCAAGGGACAGAAGGAAGAGAGTCCTGCCAGGCTGACTTCTGCCGGGCACAGAAGGAATGAGCAGAGCAGGCGGGGACAGAGCCCTTTGAGAAGCACTCAAAGAAGTGGGTGATCTCCCCACCCTGTGATCCCGTGAAGAAGTGAAGCTCGGCCATGGCCAGCTGTTATCTGGAGGGAGGGGACAGGGCAGGCAGGAGGGACACAACCAAATGCCCTGGTCTGGGCTGAACGTGTCTACTGCACATGCACTTGCCTGATTTGGAGGCAGGAGCTCTGCTCCAGCACTGCTTCCAAGGCATCACTATAGAAACGCAGAACTAGCCTAAACGCTGTTATTCTGTAAAGCCCATTCCGTAAAGCAGTTCACGGAGGCTCAGAAACGTTAATTCGATCCACCGGGGCCCCAGGAGCGTGAGGAGCATGGCAGGAAGGTGCAGAGCCCTTCTGGGTGCCCGTGTCCCCGCAGACAAGGAGGAAAGTGGACTTTGGGGAAGGACTGGACCTGGTGGGACCTATCCAAGCCACCTCTCAACTCTGGTCAAATGGGAGTTAGGGCAGGGGCACAAAAGTCCCGTTTTTTCCATTTATGGTCAAACCCGGAGCAGGAACAGGATCCGCTGAGAGCTCCTCACTCAGCCAGGACACGCTAGAACCCTCCCTGCCTGCACGAGGCTATGCATGTACAGCAAGCAGCCCCTCCAAGCACGCCCTGTGCTCCCCAGCAGCTAGCAGCACAGCCAGGGAAGGGACACATGCTGGAATACCGCTGCTGGGTGCCGGCTCACTCACTGGAAACCTCCGGGGGCGGCCCCAGAGCATATGAGTAAAGCCACCCTATCCTGTGAAGGGTCCTGCCCTGTGGCTTGGCGAGGAGCATGCAGGTTATAGCCCACAGACCGCTGGAGGGAAGGAGAGACCATGCAGGGCTGAGGACCACTTCAGCCCCATCTGGATTCTTTTTCTCACCCCCAATTTTAGGCTGGGTTCTGAAGTCTTCTAACCTCCTGGGGAGCTCTCACTTCATCCCAGCTCCATTGATGGGACACCACTGTGCCTACCTGTGGTGTGGGAGGCTCCACCTTCCGCTTCTTCTTTTGGTTTTGCTTATTGGTCCTGGGATAGACCATGAGCATCTCTAGCCATCTGGGGAAAGAAGAGGAGAGAGCACTGGATCAGACCTCTGCGCTCAGGGACTAGGAACCTTATTGGGTGGTCTAGGCTCCAGGCCCAATGCTTCCTACTTGGGGGCGCCCACCCAGTGGCCAGGTCTCTGGGTAGCTGAGCAGGGCAGAGCATGACCCAGATTTGTGCCTGCCACCACTGGGGAAGTGCCAACAGTGCAGCCCAGGACAAGCACAGGCTGTGCTGGGACCAGGCCCAGATGCTGACCCCACAATGACCATAGTGCAGGTGGAGAGGGCCCGGTGGCCGGCCCAGGCATGCAGAGTGCTTGACTGCTGGAGTGGCAGGCCTGACCACAGGCCTCAGAGTGCAGAGCACATCATGGTTTCCATCACTGACCCCATCTTCGGGGCTTAGACCTGGCTTTAAAATTGTCCTCCCACAGTAGATTTGGCTAATGCACAGATGGGCTGCTACTGGGTATCATTTAGGGCTCTGGAGGCAGGAAATCAGCAGTTGTGCTACCAAAGTTCTCTGTGACGGGTCACTTCCGGGGCCAGACCCATGCATTCACCTCTGGGTCCCACCTGCACACTGAGGGCTCTGGGCACCTTGGCTTTGGGGAAGGCCCAGCAGAGCTGCCCAGGCCCACATGTTGGAAGATCCACTCTGGACCAGGAGCAGGGAAGGCAGTAGGGGAGTGTGGGAAGAGCAGCAGGTGACAGCAGGAGGCTTGATACAGATCTGGCTCTGCCACCCTCTAACCACGACCCTGGGTGGCTTCCTGCCCCTGTGGGCTTCAGTCTCCTCATCTCTGAAAGCAGGGGGTGGATGAAGCCATGACATGTCCACTGCTTGCCTCACTCGAGCTTCATTAACATCTGGGAGGGTTGGATGAGGGGGACAGGAGGAGTGGAAGACAGGAGGGGCCTGGTGGTGAAGGATGCTCTGTCCAGAGCAGAAGGTACTGCAGGAGCCTCTGGTCCCCTTGTCCCCAGAACATGAGGGTCTGCGCTGGGCCTGCTGCCACCCCGGGCCCGGCGGCGGCAGCGGCTGAGCTGCAACGTGAGGCAGCGCCCGCACGGCCCGCACCCTGGCTGGAGGCTGCGGGTACCACCAGCATTCAAGCCCGCGTCAGGAAGAAGCACTCACGTCTTTAACTCTCAGAGGTGCTTCTTTAATTTGGGGTGGAGGGAGGGAGGGAGATCGGTCCCAGTCAGTGACCTTCTAGGACAGCCTCAGGAGGGTATGTTGGTTGTGCTGTTGCAAGCTGGCAGCTGGGGAAGTGGGCTTGGGTGTGGGGGATCACAGCATGTGGGCCGAGCCCCGCTCAGCTTTGAGCAGGTCATTCAGTATCTGCTGAGACCACGAACCACTGCCGGCACCACAGAGACCTGAGGCCCAGGCCCTATGGGTCAGTCCTCTGTGGGCTGGCCCCAAAGCAAGAAAAGAGGCATGACTGTGTCTGCAAGGCCGGCAGATGAGCAGACTCTCAGGGCCTCACTCATGTCATCTGAGTGAGGCCCTGAGATTGCGGGGTTAAAAGACTTGTTTTCCAGCCTGCCGCAGGGGCTGACACCAGCAAGCTGTGTCCCCTTAGCGCTTTACTGAGGAGAGACTGCTTCACAAAGTCACCTTGTCCTCCGGGGCCCCAGGAGCACGGGGAGCGTGACAGGCAGGTGCACACTGGCCCAGCTGCTGTTCGCGGCGACACGGACAAGCCTGCAGGACAGGGCCCCGAGGGAAGAGATCTGGGCCGCCGCTGCACTACTGACTGAACGGAGCCCGCTGAGGGCTCCGGCCCGGAGAGGGCTGGAGACTCGGGGGCTGAGCACAGGCAGGGGCGGGCTGGGGCTGGCCTGGGACAGATGACGGAATGTGTCCCCTGCACTCGGATTTCTCACGGAAGCCCAGCAGGAAGCGTATAACGTCATTTGGATGTGTTACCATAAAAAATACACCCAGGGAAGAGAGGTGAGGGGCGAATATGGACACGGGATCCGTGGTGGAAGTGAGTGCCAGGACATGGTGGGGTGGGGTCCCCAGCTCTGATGGCAGAGCCAGGATGAGTGAGACCAAGGTGGGCAGAACTGAGAGGCAGGGGCACAGAGAAGGGGGAAAGCTTCCCCCCGCCACCAACTCCTGCTTACATCCCACCTCCTCTAAAAGAGCTGCGCTAAGTTGTGCCCCAAACATCCTGAAGGCCCGTCCTGGCACGAGAGCGCTGAGAAAGAGAACTGCCAACTCTCTCCGCCCAGCTCTGGGAGAGATGCCTCAGGCAGCCCAGGGGCCTCTGTTCAGAGAAGACACCAGAAAGAAGTCTGGATGGACTGTCTCCAACTACCCCTGCTCTAAGTCAGCCCAGAGGAAGACTGTACCTCATTAGGGAGCTGGGTACTTACCCCCACCTCGGGGTCTAAGAGCCCACAGGTAAGATTACCTGGCAAAGGAACTGTGCCAGGTGGTGAGGACACCAAGGGAGGCATCTGTCCACAAAGGCGCGAGGCAGAGGAGGGAGAGAAGATGGAGGCAGAAGTCTGTACCCAGGGCACACTACCCCACCTGACTCCCTAAAGGAGGTCTAGTGTACCAGTGGGTGGTGAAGACAAGCTGCTGCTGGGGGCCACTGGAGGGGCTGCAGGGACCCAGGGACAGGTTGTCATGGTGCAAACCCTGCCTATTGGGCAGGGATTAGCTAGGCCCAGCCCCAGGATGAGGACAGGGAAAAGTGCTGGGTATGCCCCTGAGCCACCGCACAAACCTGGATGGCCCAGCCTACATGTGGGACCCAGAAAACACACACATCTGGTATCTTGGTCCACCAATGACCTTGTCTACTCAAGCTGCACAGGAAAGGCAGTCCCCCGCCTCTGTACATGCAGTGACCTTAGGAGAGGGGATCAGGACGGGCGGTCTGTGGCAGGTGCCTGATGGTAGGATTTGGGCCCCCCGACAGAGGCACTGTCAGCTGTCGGTTTCCTCATGCCCTGTGGCAGACCATGACATCACTGACCTGGTCCCCCAGCTCACACATGCCCCAGCCTGTCCTGGGAACCCTGGACACCCCTTCCCGTCCCTCGTGCTAATCGGGATCCTCCATGAGACCTAGCTCCCAAGGGGAGGGCAAGCTCTCCTCCAAGGACTCCCGCGGGGCAGTGGCAGCTCGGCACAGGCCTGCCTGCCAGACGGGGCCACGGCAGCAAGCAGGAGCTGGGAGGAGCAAGCAGTTCTGTGCTGCGCCTCGTGCCTGCAGTGCCTTGTTCAGGGTCCTTGCATTTCCACAGCTGCAGTCTCCCAACTGTAGAATGAGGAGCTCTGTAAAAGCCCTCTATATATTTTTTTTAAGTTTTATTTTTTAGTAATCTCTACACCCAATGTGGGGCTCGAACCCATGTTCCGGAAATCAAGAGTCCTATGCTTTTCTGACTGAGTCGGCCAGGCTCCCTGAGCCTCTGCACTCCTAAACCATATGGTTCTAGAATTAAGACCAGAGAGAGGGAGAGGCAAAGTGGTCCTGCTGTTCGCCCCTAGGATTTAAAAATGCAAACCTGCCTCTCTCCAAGGGAGAAGGACTCAGGGTGAGCTGGCACCCCCAGCAGAGGGTCCGCTGGTCACTCTGCAGGGCAGCTCTGGCCCTCGGCTCCAGCCTGACAGAGTGGATTTGAACTTCTGAACTCGGCAAAACCTGGGGACCTTCTGACCACTGTTCCCGCTTCCTCATACAGCAGCCTTGGCCTGAGATCCTGAAGCTCAGCCAGTGTTCAGAGTCTCTTTACTTGTTGAAACCAAAGGCCTTCACCTTCTAGTTCCCTCCACTCTGCACTATAATCATCAGCCCAGTATCCCTAGCTCCGCCCCCCCGCCCCAATTCACTTTCTCTCAAAGCTTTCTCAGCCTTAAAGGACCAATGGGATTCTCCAAGATCCAGCGCCCGAGCTCCTGGCCGGGCTTGCTGAGCCTGCTCTCGAGGCATGGACTGTGTGGCTAGGTCACACAGAGCTGGTAACAGGCGCCCCAGGAGCAGGGACTCCTGGAAGGCACACGCTGCGTGAGCTCAGGAGCACAGAGCTCTGCTCACCCGGACCGTCAGCTACCTGGAAAACTGGGCCCCCTTCTACCTCCCAGGGCTTCCCCTAAGCCTCCGACCAGGGCATGGCCAGGGCAGGGGTGTGACTCAAAGACTGTCTATTCTTTGCACCTGGACAAAGAAGGCAGTGCATACAGCGGAACTGGAGTGACTGCTGTGTGCAGGCCCTGAGAACGAGGAATGAAACACAGCCCCCGACCCTCAAGGACCTATTGCTGGCTACAGGAGGCCAGATGTGTACCCAGACAGAAAGAGCCAGCTGATGGTGCCAAGTGCCTCATGGGGGCAGGTTTCCTGGAAGAGTGGACATTCAGGCTGACTCAACAGCCTCAAGGAAGGAGGGGTCATTCCAGAGTGAAGGCAGGGTGACAGTGAAGGCACGGAGCTGGTGGGCAGCACGGGGATGTGTAGTGACAAGCAGCTCAGTGCTGAGGGACACAAGGGTGGTGGGGGTGAGGCTGGAGGGCTGGGAAGGGGCCTCCTGAGGCCAGCCAAGGAACTTGGACTTGACTCCCAGGTGATGGGGCTTCAGGCAGGAGGGAGGCAAGGTCAGATGGGTTCTGGGGACTGAAACCCTTGTGCTCGAGTGATACATGGGTGGAAGGGTCAGAATGGAGGTGGGGAGACCAATGAGAGGCCGAAGGAAGCCGAGGCAGCCCTGGAAGTGGGGCAGCGCCAGCAGAGGGAGGTCCCCAGGGAAATGGTACATGAGGAGAGTTATGTGCATGTGGGGATGACGCAAAGACAGGTGGAGGGTGAGGCCAGTTTCGGGCGTGGTGAGCGGGCACACGGTGGTGCTGTGAAGAGAGAGAGGGGCTCAGAAGAGGGGACACGCTTGGGGAAGAAAGTGATGGCGATATTGCCCAATTTGTGCCAAAGGGAACTGGTCCGAGAACCTGCTGGTAGGCAGGGGTGCTTCCTCCCAAAATGCCCGGGGCAGACTCACCCACTGATGATCTCCTTGGTTTCTGCCCGGATGAAATGCTCCTTCTCAGGGGTCAGAATGCACAGGGAGAACTTCTGGCCTGTCCGGCCCTCCCCATCCACCACGTCTGTGCACTGGTTCATGTTGATGGTGCCCTGAGGCAGGGTTGTGGGCTGCAAGAAGACGGGGCAGGGAGTTACGCAGAGGCCAGCACTCATGGGTCAGAGTAAGGCAACATGGACGGTCCCCATATCCCCAGGCCCTCCCGGCCCTTGTCCCTTCAACAGGCACCTGAACCTCTTGCAGCTGTGTGGATCCCCAATTACAACAGAGGCAAAGGGTGGTGGCTCTGCCTCGCCCCCACCCTCATGGCCCCACTTCGTCCCTACCCATCCCAGGGAGGAGAGGCGACAGGCCTGCTCTTCTCAGAGGACACCCAGCTGGACATTCCTTCCTAGCTGGAGAACAAGATCCCAGCTGGTACCGGGGGAAGGGAGAGAGACAGGAAGGGGACAGCTCCGTAAGGATAGCTGGGAGGACAGAGGCAGCCAAGAGTCTGGTCTCACAGGGGTTACTGATCCAAGAGAGCAGTGAGAAAAAGCTCCAGAGGAGATGGTTCCAAAATAGCAAGGTTATTTTTAGAGGCAAGGAGGGAGCCGGAGAGAAGCCGCATCCTGGAAGGCAGGCTGTGGGGCTGGCAGGCTGGAGCCACACATATATCATCAATGCTTTAAAGGTAGGCCAAGCCCGCTCAGGGCAGGTGACCCCCCGCCACCTTCCAGGACTGCCCGTGAGGCTGCTGGCCAGCGCCGGAACAACAAATAATAGCTTTTTTCCTTTTCTGACACTGTTAGACACTGAAATGAGGAAAAGAACCCCAAGAACAAGCAAAGAAGGCATTAAGAGATTCCTACTGGGGTGAGGGTCAGCAAGTAGGACCTTCCTAAAGATGATTTGTTAGCCCTGCATCCTCTGGCCTTTCACCCTCCCCCCAAACAGGAAGCACTTTTGGGCGGGAAATGAGGCTCCATGGCCGTCACCACACCAAGGGCAAAGAGCTCCTGGCCTGGAGTCAGGCAAGGCACTACCTTAATGCCCCTTTCTGGTGGCTCTCACAGGGAGGAAAGCCTTGGCCAGGACCCCCGGTGGTGTGGGGCACGAGGTGAGGAGGCTGCCCCCACTTTTGGGGCAGCTGCCAGCTTCCATACTGAGCACCCCCCCAAGGACTTGGCGCTTCCTTAGTTGGGTTCCTGACGAAACAGCAGGGGGAGAAAAAGCGAATGGTGGCCAGCTGGGGGTTGCTTTATCAGGTGCCTCCCTCCTAAAGCTCTGAGGGTAGGTCCTACCCCTGACCAGCTACAAGCTCCCTGTTGCCAGGCATGGGGAAGAGGCCTGGTCTGAAGGTCAGGATGCTGGGTCCGGTGTGGATGCCAAGCTCAGACCAACTATACCTGCTACTGGAAACCCTTCTTCATCTGTCAAACGAGAGGAAGCAGGAAGCTCCTGGACCCCCTCCAGCTCGAGCGCATATGAGCTTCCTGGTACTTTCCAGGCCAACGCACCAGCATTTCTGACGCACTGCCAGCTCCCTCCTCATCCGCTGGTGCCCAGCTACAGAAGCCGGACCAGAGGAGCGCTGCATTCCAGAGCCCTCACCCAGTACGGCTGCCGGCTCTCTGGTCCACCGGAGGGGGAAGAAGTAAGGTTCCCAGCTCCGAGAAGCCTTTCCTTATGGACTCTCTGGGCTCAGCTCAGAATGGAGGTGGCAGGGCAGGAGAGCCAGCTGTGAGCTCACGGGGAGGCCTGTGACTTCAGGTGGGGACCAGAGGAGGGGCCAGAGTCCCACTTCTGACAGTGGGCCACAAGCATACTAAGACTAGTGCTCTTCCTTAGTTCAGTAGCCTTGTAGTATCTCTCCTGGGCCCTCCTGGAGAGTCCTTGAGCTGGGAAAGGGGGCTTGGTGGGTTATCCTGCAACCAACCAAGGGGGGTTCTTCAGGAGCAGTGAGCAAGGGAGGCGGCCTGGGACCCGCCCACTGGTCTTCTGGCTGGGGAGACCCATAAGCATGTAGGGGTGAGTCCCCCTCCCCAGATGAGCGCTGCAGTTTCAAGAGCGCAGCCCTCCAACCCAGGGCAGGGCCCGCAGGATCCTTCTAGGCTTCCCCACCCCACCTTGTTCCAGTTCCAGCCCCTCTACTCTTCAGAATTTCTAATCCCAGGTCTTCTCTGATGTCATGCCACTGCCCCATCTGAACCCTCTTTGGGCGAACTAAGGGTGGTGACCTCTGCTCTCTCAGCTCAGCCTCCCCCACGCAGTAGCACACGCTCCCTGTTGGTACCGACAAGCCTCATGGGTTCTCTGGGGTGGGTCCTCTGGTACACGAAACAAGGACACTGATGCTGTGGACCACTGTGAGGATTAGGGCCATGAGCAGGATCACAGAGCTGAGAGGGGAGAGGGGACAGCAGAGGAGCTTTTCCAAGGTGACTTTTCCTCCTTTGTCCTTGACACGCCCCCTCCCCCCCATGCTTGGACTCATGGGTCACAGTTGCCAGTGTATGCCCACCTGTGACACATGGATGCGTGGACACGGTAAGTTATCTACTGTGCCACTGTGCCAATGCCTTATAAATTATAACACACACACAGGAAAGCTAAACGGGGACAATAAAACGCACCAACAGAGACTGTAATACTTTCTTCTCACTATACTCTCCAGTGGGCCATCTGAAGGCATGTGCTCGTCTTTAGAAACTACTGTTCCAGAGTTCGGGGTCAAGAAACTGCTCACCATTCCCTCAGGCACAGTAACTGTGTTTGCTGGACACATGGCCACCAGCTATTGACGAGATTTCCCAGCTAACCCTGCAGCTGAACGCGGTCACGGGACCTAGTCACCAACCATGCCCTAAGACTTCCGACAACCTCTCTGGACCTCAGTTTTTTATGTGTGCAAAATGAGGTCCCTACCTCCTTCCAGAAGAGCTTTCAAAAAGGCAAAGACATAACAAGCTACAGCTGCATGAAATGACCATTTATTTACTACCTGTGTGTCACCCTCTTTCATGCCTCCTTAAACATTACTCACGAGGCGGGCATTAGCTAATCCTGTTACATATGGGGAAAAGGGAGCAGAGCTGACGGCGGGCAGAAGAGAAGGGAGAACCGGAAAGCTGACCCAGGCTGGCATTTGGCAAGCACTGTGCAAACAGTTCCTCCTGAGCCTCAATAGTGCCACGTGCGGGAAGAGGCCCCACCAGTGCCAGCGCCACTTGCCGCCAAGCGGCTCACTGTCCTAGGTGGGCACTGCAGGCCAGGCCCCGGCCAATGCGTCCTCTCATGACTACTCCCACACCCCTCTGAGGCTGCCTACACCCCCACTCGCCCCTTGACTAGTCAGCACTCAGCCACAGCTCCTGCACCCAGAGCTCGGGCAGATTCAACCAAGGGCCCAGGTGTGGCCCTCCCCACCTCAAGGCAGGGGCAGGCCATACCCATCTGCATTCTCAGCACGGAAGAGAGAAGAGATCTTTGACAACCCATCTCCTGACTAGGCCAGACCCTGTGCTTGGAGAGCAAGGGCAGATATCTAGGCTGCAATCCAAATCCAGCCAGAGGGAACCCCTCACCCCAATACCGTCAGCAGGGAGGCCAGCTCCATCTGACAAGCTCCCTGTTCTCATTCTGCACCTCCAGAGTTAGGAATCCAGGCCTCCGATGAGGCTGAGTGGCACCTAGTTTTGCTCGATTCCAAAAAAGGGATGGCTGTCTGCAGGCCACCCAACTCTGTTATGCTGCCAAGTTATGGGTTAAGTCCTCAGCCAGCAATGTCACCAGATGGCCCTCTAGCCATCTGGGGGTTTCCAGTCCTCTTCTGGTCTCCACACTACACCCGCTCAGATGGTAGAGCTGCATCGGTGTGAATGAATCCCAAGGCCAAAGACCATGTAAGCATGAAGTGACCAAGCAGGAGGACTAAGACAAGGGCCTCTCTCCAGGGATGTCACCACATCCTGCTGAGAACACAGCCGTCTCCCGTCATCTGCCCACTGGCCCACAAAAGGCCAAGGGAGCCTTTGCCCACTGCAGCTGGCCACCTGTCAGAGGTTTGCTTCGGAAGATCCTCCCACAGCAGCCTTACCACCTGGACAACCTCCAGCCCCATCCCTGGCCCAAGCAGGTGCACTTTAGGGAAAACAGGTAGCCTCCACTTCTTGTTGGATCCTGGAAGTTGGGGAAGGTAAGCGTCTACGAGCCACAGAGAAAGAAGAGGAAAGTAGGACAGGAAGACAAAGAGGGGCCATTTCGAGGTATCGGTGGGGGCCCTTTCCTCCAGGCAGCTGTGCCTATACAGCCAGAGGCCAGGCAAGACTGGGCTAGAATGGAAATACTCCATTTTATGCCCCACTTCTCCATTCGGATGGGAAAACAGAGACCCACAGAAACAAAAGACTTTCCCCAGCGCAAAGAGGTGCTCACAAAATCTCAAGGTCAAAAGTGCCTTTCAATGTGAAGGCCAACCCAGTGCACTGCAGGTCCTGCAACAGTTCCTGTATTTCAAATCTATCTGTCCACGACTGACAGAGAACCACGCATTCCACACTGGGAAGGACAGGTGTATGGGCACGCACACACACAGAATGAAAAATTGGGGAATACTTTTACTACATGTCCTGTGTTCTGTATTATTGCTCCGTCACACTCCCCACGACCCACTTGAGGAGGAGGAGAAGCAGTGCCACTTGGTGTCAGCAGTCAGCCAGCACTCTGCACACGGCCAGAAGTAGGGGTGAGTATGCTCCAGGTAGGACAAGAAGACTCTCCCTCGCAGTAGGAGCCATTGCAGCAAGAATAATCCTAATCGTCTTCTACGGTCAGGCAGGGCTCTGGAGAAGTACTTATAGGTTCACCCTGACGACAGCCTCAGGAGGAAGGCACTCTGACGGGCTTGCAAGTGGGGCTTAGGGTGGGAAAGGGACCTGTAACCCAGCGGGGTCACCCAGGTCAAGTGTGGCCCAGGGTTACTGCAGAACCTGTCGGTGGGCAGGATCAGACACGGCCTAGGCAGGAACACGATCCCTCCTGCCCTCCCCAAAGGGGAGGATAACGGCTCCCATAAGCTCCCGTACAAAGGCCTGCCGGGAAGCCACGCTGGAGGCTTGGTTAGGCCACC